AGGATACATTAGAACTCAATTCATTCGGTATGTGCAAGAAAAATATGTACGTCGATCATGTAATAAATGAAAGTTTATTCGGAAGTAACTAAATCACCTGTAAGGCTTCGGCAATTTTAATTTTCGAGTATCTTTGCGCAGTCTTCCGAGTTTCCTCTTTGATGTCTTCCTTGTGCTTGTGAATCGTTCGACTAGAATGCGTTTTGTTTTCTACATAAATAATTCCAACCCAATAAAAAATTTTACAAAGTTGCGAAAATATTGTTTATATATATAGGTGATATAATTGGGAACAAAATGCACTTCATCCCCCTAAAAATTTTCCATTTGCCCCCCCCCCCAAATTCAGAAAAGAGATAACCTTCTCTTCGAAATATTGTTTTGGTTGCACTTTGCCTGAAAAGCTAATTTTCGATTGCATCGTTCAACAAAAACAACATTTTAAAGTGGCAGTGTGTAGAAAATAATATTTTTAAGGGGCAACGTGCAGCATTAAATTTTTTTAAGGGGGTAAAGTGCAAAAATAAAAAAAATTATAGGGGATGACATGCAATTTGCCCTATAATTAATTATGAAAAGAGAAAGGATGTCTTACTTAGTAATACTCCACATCCCTTAGGAATAAAACCATTATTCTTCTTTGTAAAAGCTTGAATTATTCCAAGAAACCTGATTTTGTCGCCACGTTTAAGTGAAAATTCGCGTAAAACGTGCTTTACGGAAATTGCGCAGAGCTCCTTCGAAGCATCTTGGACAATAAGTACTCTTTGAGTGTTCATCTCCATAAATATTTCTTGTTGAAGTTGTAATGTATATGCTGCACTTAAACACAAAGATTTAGCGTGTAATTAGTGTTCTATTAATGGAAAATCGAAACGAAATCTAGTACTACGTGACAAAGTTGTGACTTTGTTTTGTGAATATAACAAAGCAAATGTTCTTTGGTAGGATTGAATTTTTTTTGTTTGGTTCCTACGACTTGGTGTTGTCGTTTTATCTCGTTTTCATCTATGCATTAGTTTTGTAAACATGTTCGAGGAAGACGAAGAAAAAAAATCCGAGGTTGAGGCGCCGCGTTTCGATGGAAACATGTTGTCCTTTTTGGGGAATTATTTATTTATTTTCTTTCTTGATTCTTGTTATTGTCTTCAATGGTGGATGGAAGTGAGTTTGAAATATTCAATCACCACCACTCTTTGTTTTGCATGTGACGGTTCAAAGTGGTTAATCATTCAAGAAGAGAGAGCCCCAAAAAATAAAATGTTAAATTAAAACGATAATTACAAAATCCCCTTCAATGTAGGCTAAATTATAAAAAATGCCACCACCTATCCATAATTATCAATACTCCCCTATGTTTGTTCCATCTTATACCAACCCTCTTATGATGTTATTTTTCACGGAATCTTTTTAATTCCAGGGGATATTCTATAAAAATGCCGATTCTACCCCTACAGACGTGATATTTATTTATGTATACTACTTTTTAAAGGAAGAACTTGCCCCGGTGGCCTTTACATAATATTTATTTTTCTTAAATAACATTTCACTAACTTTAAAATATTACCATTATCCCCTCGAGAGATAACTTTTGCCTTTAATAATTACATCTTCTTCACTTTGAGAAATACACAACCAAAAAAATAAAATAATAATAATAATAATAAATAAATAAATAAGCAATTGGGCTAATTCGTCATTAAATTTTTCAATATTGGGATGTGTAAATAAGCCCATTTGAGGAGCCACGTGCAGCCCAATCCCACCCAACATAAGTGACAGCTAGAGACAGCACTCTCACTCTTATCGTTCTCTGTTTTTATTTTCTTAATTTTTTATTAGGGAAAATTGCACATCACCTCCTGTAAATTTCTAATTTTTGCACTTTACCCCCTCAATTTTTTTAAAAGTGAATGTCGTCTTCAAAATATTACTATTGTTTCACATTGCCCGATATCAAAATTCCGATGGATTATTCATCATAATCAAGTATTTTTGTTGCACGTTGCTCCTTAAAATATTATTTTTATTGCACATTATCCCTTAAAAACATTACTTTTTTGTACATTGTCCCTCTAAAATGTTATTTTTATTGCATATTGCCCCTTAAAAATATTACTTTTTTGCACATTGCCCCATCTAAAATGTTATTTTTGTTGCACAATGTCCTCAAAAAATCGACTTACGAGGCAAAATGCAATCAATATAATATTTCGAAGAGGGTATATCCATTTTTTTAATTTTTAGGGCGGAAAGTGAGAAAAACAAATTTATAAGGGGGCAAAGTGCATTTTGTCCCTTTTTAATAACTAATAACAAAAAACACACACTCGAGTGTGTTTCCACACACAACACACACTTTTTGCAGTCTTTCACAAATCTCCAATCTCAACGAAATGCTTTCTCCATTTTTAAATGCTTTTCTTTTCCTTTACAAAATGATGCGTGGTAATTAAGTTTGTATTATGTGCAATAAACTCCATGTGAGCCTCCTCTCTGTTCTTGTCGGTTCTCTATCCTCTGAATCAAAGGTATCAACTCTCTCTCTCTCTAGCTTATCATTTTCTCTCTCTTCTTTTTTTTTTTTTAAAGTTTTAATTTTTATCCTAATTGCACATTATCAATGGAATCGTGTGATCTGTTCATCTGCATTTCTGTCAATTCTCGCTCTCTTGTTGTTGTTGTTGTTGAGTAT